CAAATTATTCGCCGCCTAGACCCATACTACTATGCTACTACTACTGCTACTACTAATGCTACTATACGAAAGCTCTCAATTATTAGCAAATGTTTCTAATAATTCAAGAAAAAATACTACAGACAATGCTATAATTTTCTTCAACACTGTAAGCATACGAGCAAGCAATCTCCAGTAATTTCGTGATGCACCACAATTGATCGTTGCCCTGGAGATAGTGACTTCATACCGACGGCTGACTAGTCTCCCCAGAATGTAGTGTGTGGTGTATGTATGTATGTGCGGTTGTATGCTCATAGATGGGTATTTTTATTGTGCTATTTAGATATATATGTATGTATGTATGAATATTTATGCGTATCTACGTGTGGCAAGCAGTATTCGAGCATATGAAATGTCTTTACTAGGAGTATAATGTTTAAAAGAAAATAATTACAACGAACGGCACAGAAATTTGGATTTTTTTATGCCTTAATTATGCCTGTATGGATGTGTGTATGTATGTATGTGTTACAGAGAATGACCGATATTTTGGCTTTACGCATTGCGGTTGAGAACAAACAAAATACAATTTATGCATATATACATGCATACATACATATATACATGCATACAAGCTCACAATTCACATGTAAACAATTTCTGGCGTTTTAGAGTTTTCTGTGGAAGTGAAGTGGATAGTTTTGTGCTTGATGATGAGAAATTGCAACAGATTTTATAGTCTAGAGCGTTTGCAATCGAAATTAACTTTACTGACAATAAGTAATATTATATTATTCAACGAAAATGTTTTTAAATTGAAGTGAAAGCAAGCCCAACGGTTTTTGATTTATTTCATTATGGCGCACTGATTTTAAAAACTTGCGATACGCCTAACTTTATATAAATTGTATAGAGAATTAAAAAAAAAAATCTTCAGAATTATGATATAAATCCTTACTTGCTTAAAAATTCAAAATAAAAAAATTAGGACACACCCAATCTTTTTGATGAATGAATCTCTGGCTCATATAATTAGGCCACTCATAGAGCAGTTCGGAAAATTCTTTACAAATTAAATTACAAAATTAAAACAAAATGTAAAAAAATATTTTTTTTTCATATGTTCTTAGTTTTCTTCAATGTTTTCTTGTTATATTATAATTAAATCACCTCCTTCAGAACCCGAAAAAAACGTTTTTTCAGCGATTTTTTAATGGGCAGAAAATTTTAGCGGTAAACGTAATTTTTACACAATAGTGTACTACATTTTAACCAACAAAAAACAATTTTTAGTATCAAAAAGAATTGAAATTTTCTAGTGTTGTGATGAGTTTTCTGAAGCGGCTACAGACTGAACTCGTGAAACGGTGCCATTGATGAACGTCGTGCGATGTTTCTGAAACAGACGGGGCAAAATTTTTTATAATGTTCTTAAGATCTAAAAAAAAAAATTCCGAGGAGTTTGAAAATTTCAAATTTTTTCAAAATTGAAATAAAAAATATCTTTTATGAAAAAAAAAATTTTTTTTGAAAAAAAAAACTTTAAATAATATTTTTGTCAACCTTTTTAATTCAAATACAAGATATTGTAATACTGAATCTAGATCACTTTTATTTTTTTTTATCGGACATACATATATACTTTATGCTACCACCTGCATAGTTTTCTAAGAATTGCAAAAATGAAAACACGAAAAAACGCGCTTCAAGTTTCTACCCGAGCATTCGTACCTGCTCGATGCTCGGCCACTAAAACTGCTCCAGCTTCGAATTGGCCACTGTAATTTTGAAAACATATTCTTGGATAGTTTTAGAATTACATCTATTCTATATATTTTTGAAGCCTCTAAAGCAGACTACTGCCTTAAGATAAAGTGAGTGATCAGTGTGGAAATTACTAAAAGAAAAAGTTAATTAACAAATATTCAAACGGCAATAAATAAAACGTCCAGTATCGAGATATTATTGGCATCAATGCGCTAATGACTTTTTAATTATGTCTCTAATTTATGGCAGCCCAGATTGAGCCCACCATCTTATGATGGATATAAACTTTACTGAGATGCAGGAGGATTAACGCGGAATGGAGCGAAGCCAAACTAGTACGCATAGGAACTCCTTAGGGGCTGTGCCGTCACCGTTCCTTTGGTCACTTGTAGTAAACGAGCACATGAAAAAATTGAAATGCAGAGCACCACAGCTCATAGTTTATCCAGTAACGGGTCTAGTTCGCAGACAGAGTTAGTAATATGATGGACAATGTTCTAAGGATTAAATGAAAGGCAAACGGTACTCTTTACAAGTAAGTACAAAGGAGCGTGGGACCCACGGAACATGGACGAATCAATATTGAGTAGAACTAGAACTCAAGCAACAACAGGAGGTGCTTCAGTTATATGTGCCGATAATCAAGCGGCAATTAAGGCAATAACCTCACAAGGTATTGTGTAAGAGAATATGCTTATAAGAAGGGAGGTGGTAGATGTGGCGGCTTCAAGAAAGAGATTGTGCTTCTCGAGTGGCTAGCTCAAAGTTGCAATCTGAATTCAAACGGTGACTAGTGGGGTGACATAAAGAATGGGAATTTGTAAGGAAAAGCATTAAAATCTTGTTGAATTCTGCGCAAACTTTATTTTACATTGTGATGGAGTAATATTTTTTTCACTTTAGAAATGTCTGTTCGTAAATACAATAAGTATGTCAATAAAAAGTGAAGAGCGCGCGAAATCTCCGTTAGTGGTTGGATATACATATAGGAAGCTCGTTTGTTTATTAGTGCTATTAATTTTAATGAATGGCAATATTTATAGTACTTACTGTAATTACTGTAAAATATTATTAATCAGCTTCGGGAGGAATTTTTTTTTTTACCATTTCTTAAATAAGATTTAAATAATCATTCTTATCTGCTAAATATATGTATGTATATGCAGGGTTTATTTCGAAATGATACACGCCTCAACAACGTATTGACATTATTAAAATTTGCTATAAAAATTTCATCGAAAATCATCTTTACTGTTGAGGCCCATTCCCACCTTGAGGTTGCGTCGCATCTAGGGCTCGGAAAACACACGATATATTGCTGAAAAGCACCTCCCCCATCATCAACATGCAACAGTTTGGTGCGGTTTATGGTCCAGCGGGGTCTTTGAACCTTACTTATTCGAAAATGAATGGATCGAGCTGTCAAGATATAATTTTTTTTCAGATCGGTATCGATCCGGACAACGTTTAATTTCAACAAGATGGCGCTAGGTGCTACACTAGCAATGAAACCATCGATCCGGGCAAGGACTGTAACTCCCGCACGATTCGCCCGAAAAACAATTCTGGGAATATTTTGCGGTTACAACAAGAAAAACATCTTTATGGGAAAGTTACTTTGAATATCGAAATGACAGCACTTATTGGAAAACCCTGTACACTATACTACAAGTGTTTCTGCAGAATACGATGAAATACAGACGATTTGCATTGCAACATTTGACAGTACGGTCGACGCTCACGTAAATGCAAACATCATTTTACCTTTTCATTTCTATAACTTTCAACTTCCTAGTCTATTTATAGTAAATACACATAAATGGCGGGTTCCGCCTCACCCACATTTTCCTTGATTTGGTTGACATCCTGCTCAGTTTAAAATGAACAGTCAGAAGAGCGAATAAGGTTGGGGTTTGCTTCAACATATGTACATAGCTGTATGTACATATGTATGCATGTATGCATATGTACATATATATCGATGCTCTGGTCTAAGGACCACAGACATACATACAAAATGAAGACTAAGTAAAAAAAAATAATAATACTCGATTTGAACATATCTACATACATACATACATACTAATTGTGCCTGTACGAGAAGCCACCAAAAAAAGAAAATAAACATAAAAACCAGCAGCAACTTCGTTTGCAGTGCGGGGGAGCAGTCGTTCGCTCGTAAAACTACTATCAAGAAATAACTATGCAACCAATGAAAACACCAACAACAACCGCCGTTGTCAATTGTCTCTTACATAAAGCTAAATATACATGCAAGTATGTACATATGTATGTGCATAACAGTACATACACACGTAACACTTCTATGCCGTCGAAAAATACATGTGCGTGCGTACCTATGAAGTTATGAATGCAGCGGAAGCAATGACACTTTGTGCAGGCTGGCATACATATGTATTTATGTACGCACATATGTATGTACTTACATACGTAAAAACCACTGTATGGCATCAATATGCACCGATTAATACGTGTATGTATGTACATAAATACAAATTCATACATATATACAAATGTATATAAGAACTTAAGCTTAGGACAACCATCTCTAGCCTAAAGTACTTTAATATCTGACGGCTGGTTCCGAAGTGGCAACAACAAATTTAATTACTATAATCAACAAATAGAAAGTAAAAAAGGGAGCGCTTGGATCTATGTTTAGCTATGTATGTGTGCATATTCACAAACTATAATATTAATATACATATGTTTATACATAAATATATAATTCTAAAATTTCCTCATAATGTCAAATAAATCCTTCGTATCAAATAAACAATCAGTGATCAAACACAATACATTCATACCAACGTTGTCAACAATTTCACATAATCGAAAAAGGACAATGGTATTTATAGGGATTTACTGTAGTTTATTGTTTGAGAGAGGAGGTCCAAAATTAACAATACCAGTATATACATATATACATACATATATATGTTTGAAGCTCTATATCTATGTAGAGTGCATTATGCATGTATATATTCATGTATATACGTTACTATTCAGCTTGTCGGCATGCTCTTCTCCATCTAGGAACAGTTTTCGTAGAATTCGAAGAGCATCACACGAATCGTACACGTTTACTCAAACTTAAACCTCTCATTTAATAGGATACTCGTAAATCGACCCATCACCCTACTATACATAACACATAATTCCCACCCACCATTCACCACCCAGAGGTTTACTGTCTGTCTCCACCCCGATTTCCTTCAATTAGTACATACCCAAAATAAGATGTTTATCAGCACCATCAAATATTTTACACACGAACAGCAGCCGTTCAATCCCATTTTTGCGCTTTTGTATTATACGTTTACTGCTCCTTCCTTTGACCTTTTCTCAATTTTAGAGATATATTTCACTAAGAAAAACACTGAACAATGATTTTGTATATACACCTTTTCCCATACACAATCACACTACACGATTATTTGCATTTTTCATAAAGAATTTTCACTTATTATTGAATAATCTTACAAAATTATTGCTTTTTCATTTAATTTTAAGTGAAATCTGAAAAATTTTCTACTGCACTAAAATTTCTGCTACTTGAAACACTTTGCTGCTGCCGTTACGACTTTCATCCGCTGTGCTTCGTCCACTTCTCTATCCGCTTCTGCTGGCTTCTGTTTCTGTTTTTGTACGAAACTTACTCACTCGCTGCACTCACTGGTTCGGTGCTCATTTATATTTGAATGGCATACCTTGAGTGAGTTTAGGAGGATGGATATGTGAAAAGACAGGGCTGCCATGTCAACCGCTTAGATCCAAATTAATTTACAAAAACCTCTTTCAAGTACTTGAAAGAAAATTTTAATGTTTTTCAGATACCTTTCTGTGTCTTTTATTTGTTTTTACATATTTTAGTTGTATTGTAACCAATTCTGCACCCTCTCGAAAGGAGATTATACACATTAGACATATTTGTATCACCCCTAATATTATAAGGATGGAAATGAATTGAACACCTGAACCGAATAAAAGTTAAAGGAACATATTCTAAAAAACACTTTGCTTCAATGATTTTAATGAAAAAAAAAATCTGAATGTAGTTAAATAAGGTTATACATATCAAAAAGAAATTTGTGGAGAACTTTGAAATATGTATTAACATTTTCAGTTTATTCCAAAATTGTGTAGAAAAGCATTTGTGGCGAATTATGGAAAAACAAGTACTTATTGTTTTTTTTTTTTTAAATGCAATTAAAATGCAAATATGTGTTGATGTCAAAGATTCTAATACTTGGCATCTCTTTAATTGTACAGTGCTGCCTGACATCAAAATTAAAAATCCATATTTCTCATTGCGTAAAAAATTTCAAAAAATGTGTACAATTACTTTCAGTATTTTGCACATTTGCGCCTATATTTCTTAAATAAAGTATTCAAGTTAATCATTTAAATCGGATATATGGAAATATGCATGCACTGCGATAAGCGATTTATCGATACTCGATAAAAATAAACTGCTGTGAACACTGCCAATTGACATTTCAAAATTGTGCCTGAAGCACGAAAAATTCCAATTTGCAAGTGATATTTATCTGTTGTAGGTCTGTAAATTTTTTCAATTGACATAAGTTTGTGAAAAAGTGAAATATACAGTTTCTAATTAACCATCGCTTAAAGTTTGCTTCCATATATTGAGCAAAACAAAAAAGTTCAACAAAACAAAGAAGAGTGCAAATTACTTGAGCTCCAACGCCAATTAAATGAACACGCGAATACCAATGGCAAAGCGCTGTCGCAACTATTTCTAGTAGAGGAGGTTCTTCCTCACTTTTTGGAAATTTTGATTGTACCGAATTGTTTGTGTATAGTACCTTATTAGCACTAACTGTAACATCGGAAGACCGTCAGGGCTTTCGCCTTGTCCTGAAGGTTTATAACGGCAAAGTACTGGTGCTATTTATATACAAAAAAAATGTGTATTGTATAAATGTAGTTTCAGGTGGGCGTAAAATTGTGCTTGTGTGGGTGATCGTATTCAAGAGATTGATTAAAATAATTATAACGCATTATGGATGTAGCTGTAGTGATTGATACCCAAATAGCAGAATATTTGGAGGATAGAAAATGCGCCCTTGAAGAAATGAAACAAGCCATTCAAGCCGTCGGAGCGAATTTTCAACGTGTGCCAGTAAGTAATCACCAGCAGTTCCTAGTTTACTCAGGTAAATTAGTTTGTGGGAGCCTCCTATGATGAAAGTTTTCATTTTTTAGTTTGATAAACTCGATTTTGGTGAAACAAACATGCTAGAGACTTTCTACAATGCAGATGTTGCTATAATTGATTTAAGTATATTGGTGCAGCAGCGTTCGCTTTCTTATCATCTGGGCGTACGTGAAAGTTTCGGCATGAAAGGGAATATTATCGTCTACAATGACGTGCAATCAAAACAGACGTTGTGCCTTAAGGTATGTAAATATTTGATTAAATAACTGAAATTCATTCGGTTAGAAAACAGTAGAGCAAGTACCTAACGCAAGTAGACAATTAATACACGATTTATTATATTGACCTTAAATATATGTATGTGTGTAAATACAAATGAAAGTATTTTCGTTATGAGTGTCTGTTAATAACAAGAGGCTGTTGATAATACTATTTTTAAATACTACACTACTGCCAGCATATATAGAATACTACACCGTTGGGTGCTAACCGCATACACTTGGTCGCGTTTGATCAATTCTACTACATTTAATCGCAGCCCCACTGACAAATTAAATACAACGCCTACACATATTCAACGTAACCAACCAGTTCGATAACTAAATAAATGAAAGCAAAATAAATTCAAAAGAACTATAAAAATCGCATGTAAAACAATAAATCGTTTGCTTATATTTCATTGAATTTAATGTACTTGTGTTCATATATATATGGCTTATTTAGTCTCTTTTTTTTTTTTGCTAATTTGATTTCCTTTTTTTACTTCTGGACTATAATGGTAAATCCACACAAAGAAAATATATCCACATAAATTAATGCTATATTAGTTTTTATAAGAATTTGTTTTAGTTATCTTTGCTCTCATTTGAATTTTGTTGTTTGCTGTATTGGTTATTTAATTTTTTGTTGTTAATTGCACATGTTTATGTACGTGTATGTGTAGGTTTGTTTTTCTTGCATTTTTGTTTTGTTACTTCCTCCGCGTTTGTTTACTTTACAAGTTTATATAAAATTGCTTTATTGTCTTTTGGCGTTTAGCGTACTTCTTACCGGTTGATGTTTTTAGTCTGGCTTATTAAATCGTTACATTTTTTGTATACCATTTTATTTTATTTTTTGTTAATCTGATTGTCAATTGCAAAATTTGCTCTGTTATTCGATAACGTAATTCACTTCCGCTATTAATATTGTTATCGATTGCAATATTAAAAAATTTATATCGAAGTACAAGAAGTCGTTCTTAAAAGTTTTATAAATTTGCTATTTTTTCATTCACAACATTTTCTCTCAGCTTTCATGTGCGAACTATCAGTTTTTATCGTACAAACGCAACGAAGAGACTTCCACCTGCTATCTAACCAATTTCAATAAGGAACTGCCAGCAGATACCAAGATGCCAACTATGCAATCGCGCCTTAAAGGTCTATTACAAGATGTAGAGATTCAATCCAAGTATGCATAATATGCAATTAATAAAACTTCCATTTATACTAATTATTTCATTTTCATTCAAACTAGAGCCTATATGCGTGAGAAATTTCTAACTGATCTACGCACAGCACGCGAAACTTTCGGCGGAAATGCGCAGAAATTACAGAAAATCTTGCATGATATGCGTAAGCGTTTGGATGATGTACATGTACTGTCTGGCGAAGTGGTGCACAGTTTTATGTGCTCATTACGTGATGTACAAGACTACGATGCAATGGTGCGGTTAGTAAGTGATCTACGTAATATACCAAATACGCGTAAATATGTTGAAACGGGAAATATGAGTTTCTTATACGCCTTTGCTTTAAATCGCCGCAATCGGAAAGGCGATCGTGAAAAGGCGTTAGCGTCATCACTGAAGGCGCTTGAAAAGAAGGAGAATGAGTTTCCTGATATGTTATGTTTATGCGGTCGCATTTACAAGGACATATTTGTGGAATCGGATTATGAGGATAAAACCAGTTTAAAGAATGCTATTAAATGGTATCGTCAAAGCTTTGAAGTGCAACCTAACGAATATGCGGGCATTAACTTAGCAACGTTACTCGTAATTGACGGCAAAGAGTTTAGCAATACGGAAGAGTTGCAGAATATTGGTATAACATTAAACAATCTAATTGGTAAAAAGGGCAGTTTGTCGTCTTTGACGGAGTATTGGGATGTTGCGACATTTTTTGAGATATCAGTGCTCGCTGAAGACTATGCAAAGGCGATACAAGCAGCAGAATGCATGTTCAAATTGAAGCCACCCAATTGGTATCTTAAGTCAACAATTGGTAATATTTTGTTGATACATCGCTTCCGTAAGAAACCCGGGGACCATATTTCTTCTATTGAAGAGCAAATTTTTCAATTTTGGATGGACTTTTTCATGGTAGCTACCAATACAGATGAGATAACCAGTGTGCGCATGCCGATTCTTGTAAGTTATACAAATGAAATTGAAAATGCGTTTTACTAATACGTATATATATAATATTTAGATTCTAGAACCGCAAAAAATCTATATGCCTAGTTATGTTAACATCAATATGGATGCTGATGAGAAATCTATACAAATTATTAACATTTGTTTGGCGCATTCAAAGAATGCTTGCAAAAAAATGCACGACTTCGTGTTCATTGCTTCGCAAATAAAGTCTGTGAGTTTGTACAAGCGTGACGATCGTTGTGCATACCTTTATGTACATCACAATTCGGACGATTTTCAAATATATTTTCCTTCCACTGAATGTCGACAACGATTTTATGATTTGATACTAGAAATGGCTTCCGATCAAGAGGTATTCGTTAACTTGGACGTCGATGAAGTGCGGCAAATTGAAGTAAATATTTGTATAATAATAATAATGTAAATTTATATATTAACAAAAAAAAACCATTTCTAGTATGAATATGATTATGATGATCAAAATCGAAAAATTATTTTGGGTAAAGGCACCTATGGAACCGTCTATGCTGCACGCGACAAACAAACTCAAGTAAGAATTGCGATAAAAGAAGTGCCAGAGCGTAACTCACAGGATGTGCAGCCGTTGCACGAAGAGATAAAACTGCATTCCCAACTTCGTCACCGTAATATAGTACAGGTGAGTTTAAGCTACATAATATTGTAATTTGTTTTATGAGTATTTAATTATTTCATTAATTTCTTTCTTCAGTATTTAGGCTCTGTATCAGAGGATGGATTCTTTAAAATTTTCATGGAACAAGTACCCGGTGGTTCACTCTCCGATTTACTCGAAAAGAAATGGGGTCCGCTCAAGGATAACGAATCCACTATGGCTTTTTACTCTAAGCAAATACTTGAAGGTCTTAAGTACCTTCATGAACAAAAAATAGTACACCGCGACATCAAAGGTGACAATGTATTGGTGAATACCTATAGTGGTGTAGTAAAAATATCGGATTTTGGTACTTCAAAACGCTTAGCCGGTATTAATCCCATGACAACATTTGCTGGCACACTGCAATATATGGCGCCCGAGGTAATCGATCAAGGCTTTCGTGGTTACGGGCCTGCTGCTGACATATGGTCATTCGGTTGTACGAATGTAGAGATGGCAACAGGTAAGCCACCATTTATTGAATTGGGCTGTGCACAGGCGGCTATGTTCAAAGTGGGCTACTACAAAAAACATCCAATTATACCGGAGGAGCTATCACCAACGGCTAGAAATTTTATTTTACGCTGTTTTGCAATTAGCGTAACGGATCGACCAACAGCGGCGCAATTGCTGGAAGATCCCTTCTTAAATGAGTAAGTTGTTTTGGTTAAAATTTCGGTTTGAACGAAAATTAATATTCAATTGTCTTGTAATAGTAAACACCGTAAGTTACGCCTAAATCCACCCTCTTCATCGGAATTCGGTCGTAGCATCTCCGTGCCCGCAGATCGTTTAGTTAATAAGACCACCTTGCCTCCATTTATGAGTTCGATTAGCGCGAACACATGCAATACGCCCACGACACCTGAATTGGAGTAAGTGTACTATTTAAATTCCTTGAAATAAAAATTAATTTTAAAAATATACTCATAAGCAGAATAACTCATTCGTCTTCCGTCGATATCGATGAGCTGCCCAGCACTCAGTTCACTTTGGAACGTCGCAACTCATCTGGTTTTCTGCTTTCACCCGAAATCGAAGTCTCTACACCATCACTACGCACCAATCCGAGTGAAACTAATGAAACTGACGGCTTTTACCGTTTGAAAAAGGATTCGCAGCGACGCACAACATTGTCAAAGGTATTGAGAATGGATGAGGACAAAATCTGCAATCTGTGGATGGAGCGTATACAAACAGATCATAAAATCAGCGTATTAATAACCAAAACAGAACTGCAAACGCTTATACGCGGTTTGCGCGAATACATTGTAAATGAGAAGGAAAAACATTTAGAGGCTACAATAATGGGACTGAAGCAATCACTAAACGACGACGTTGCCGTCGATCATTTACACTTGGCATTATATGCCTTTCAAGATGCAGTGGTCACAGTATTACGTTCACATTTCATTAAACCACATTGGATGTTTGCATTGGATAATTTAGTGAAAAGTGCAGTGCAGGCAGCTGTAACGATTTTGTCACCTGGTATGTGTTTACAGTTACTTAAATTGAATTGTATCGCTTTATAAAAGTGTTTCGAATGATTTGCAGAATTAGGCGCTAATTTGGCCGGCAAGGAATTATCCTGTAACGATGACGAGAGCGTGCATAATCCTCAACACACCTCAACGGATAGCCAAGAAAAACTGACTGGCGAACAAACCATATCCACCGCATTGGCAGAGGGAGATGACGGCAGCTTTTCACCCAGCGAGTGTGTACGCATATTGCGTGACATGAGAGATAATGATAAACAATTTCAACGGCAGCATTTGGAGCAACAAAAGCAGATGATAAAGGCGCAGCATAATTTGAGCAAAGAACTAGCGCATATCTTCTCAGGAGCGCGAAAAGCAAGGTAAGCTTGCAATTTTGACTGTTATTTAGTTTTAGCGGTCAAAAAAAAAAAACTAATAGAAATAAAGTTAAAGTTTTTTTTTCTACTTTTATTTTATTCGATTTATTTCGATTTTAGACGTCCGTTTGCCAGTCTTCACCGCCACCCCCAGCGTGTTTATACAAAAAAGCAATCCAATCGTCCATTAAATAAACGTACTTATGATATAAGCGAGATTGATGAGCAGCTTGCGCAGTGGCTCACCGACCATAGTATTGACGAGTTCTCCCAAACTATAATACTTAATGAGGGCTTCACTTATGAAGACTTTATATACAATACAGAAAAGTTGGATTTAATGCGTTTGGAGTTAAGGTATGCAAGATATAGTTTTCATAAATCTCTTCTTATTTACATCTCATGTTTTTTTTTTTCTATACGAATTTTGAATTGTCGATAGATTGGGCGTGGAAGTACGTCTGTGGAAATTAATCAATCAAACACGCATGGGCATGGATACCATTGATGCCGAGAGTTCTAGTAGTCAGCAAACGAATAAGCAATATACTGATACAACAGGTGCCTTAAAACGTAGTAAAACTACTGAAACAAAATATAGAAGTAGTCGCGGTAAGACTGAGAGCAGTCATAAAAGAATTTCAAATGCGAACACCGCCAACAATAACATCAACGACAATGATACCGTTAACGCCAATACGAGGCAAACTGAAAGTGAATACGATTCATGCAGTGAATAAGTTATACATTAAAAGCACAATCACAATTAATTATACAAACAAACACATATACATATTCATGTGCGACATGATTTTTATAAAACTATTGACGCCGAGCGTCATTTATTTTGTCGTTGTTATTGTTCTCGATTTCGTTCAGTTTAAATATTCAGCATCAAAACACATCACAAAGAGAAGAAAAAACGCTACTAATCTGGTTATCTGCACAAAATAGCTAAAGAAAAAAATAAAAGCAAATATTATACAATAAATACATATTTTTTAATGTTGTAAAGTTAAAGTTTAATTAAGTAAAAAGTAATATATAAAAAGCATGATTGTTAATAATTGAACTTAAATAAGTGTTTTATTTATCGGCAATTTTCAGCGCCTGCTCCGAGCTACAACCTTAATGTTACCTGCTCACCTAAACGGGTTTAGGTCGTCGAGAGGGGGGGCGGCATCCCTTGGCCGGATGAAATTCAGGTCAACTCTGGTGCGTGGAACTTTTTTTCGTGAGAGTTCCTGCATGTAAAGTATCCGCACGAAACTAACAATCTCTTTACATGCCCCCTGAAACTAACCTCTCCCTCTGGTCAGATCCCGTCGAAACAGCACGTTTCCTGAATCTTCCATTAGATGACCTCGGTGACTTAGATTGATTAACCTGTCCCTAAGCGGGGTTAACGAACCGTTACACCAGCCAAGATGGTCTCTGAGTACCGTAAAAGCTCCCGATATGTGGCATATGGGTAGGGTAGGGGTCCGCTGCTCAAACCGGGGAAATCATCCAACAAAGGATAGTTACACCGTCCGACATCTCTCTCTTTCCCAGTAGCGAAAATTCTGGTGGTCTTCTTACTTCCGAGTTTCATACACCATCTTAGTCCAGCAGCAGATCAGCATGGCTTTCGTAAAGTGTATAACACCACGCCATAAACACCAACATAGTCAGGGGCCTTAACTTAAGCCGGCCCTGTGCCCAAACTGTAATGGCAGCATTGGACCTGTCAATCGCATTCAGTGCTAGTATGGTAAATTGAGGAATCCGCATTACCGCCATGGTTGAATAAGTGGAACATTGGCTGTCTCAGTGGTCGTCAATCATCGGTAGAATTTGGAGAGGTTCCGCAAGATGGTGTCTTCTTCCCACTGCTGTTTAGCTTTAATATCTCGAAACTCTCTTCTCTACCGGAAACGGTTTCACTAATCTCATATGCTAATGATTGGCGTTCGAAAGTGAACTGCTACCTCGATGACCTTTCCCACTTCTTCCCTGCTAGGCAATCATGGCTGTAACCAGACTCGAACTCGATGTGAGAGTCGATGGCGTAAAAATTTCGACTAAAAACCACCCGAACTCTGCATACGACTGCAATATACACAAAATTCCAGAGCCGCAAAAAAATCATCAAAGCGTTAGCCGGCAGCACCTGAGGAAAAGATAAACAAACGTTGCTGACTACTTGCAAGGCTATTGGCCGGCCAGTCATCAACTATGCCGCTCCGATCTGGGTTCCGGGGACTAGTGAAACGTAGATAAAGAAGTTACAAGCCGCGACTGGAAACCTTCTAATGTCGCCAGAGCATCACTTGCACTTGCATACTACCGTAGGCAGCACCCTAACAGGCACTTGCTAGTTATCTAACGGGAGGTATACGAACAGATCAGTTTCGACGAGTCGGACCAAAGGGAAACGGATGTTAGCTGAGACGGCTTAAGGGGAAATAATAGTTGACATCGTTGTTGTTGTATTAGTTCGCTAACTCTACTCGGGAGAAGACGAGTCTAGTCTAAGGTACCGAGGTCATTTAACGGGAGGTTTTCTCGCATTCGGACTATAGGGAAAGAGGTGTAAGAAGAATTGGTTTTCCTCCCAGGTTAAGGAGGGAGTTTTGAAATTTAGAAATTACCAGAAACGGGGAGAGGACACCACCTTTGATTGATTATGCCGGGTTTAGAGCTCGAAATCAATGAGGGCTGTCGACCACTCAGTTTATAGCTGTTGTTTGACAGCTTGCGGTGGGTCAACGGACAATTTTTTCTCACCATACCTGTAACTGATACATAAATCATTAGATTATGTACATACATTTATCGTGAGCTCCCATTAAGGCGGGGCTTGTTATTATACCAGTTGTTGGTAAGGATGCAACTTTTCGTAGATACTGGACAAATTTACCTAATCACGTAGTACATGGCCTCAATGAATCATATCTATCGCTAGCCCGTCCGTCGTCCAGCTCACTGAGGTCTATCTGTGCCAATTATACCAAGTCCATGGACGTGCATGCCAGGTCGGCTGCCTGAGTATATTATTTTGAATTTATTAGCCATACGGCTACATTCACATCTGTTGGTTGAGAGAGGCTGGAAAACAAATAATTATTTCGCTTCAAGTGTAATTTGTATCCAGTATTTTTGCTACAGTTAAGTTAGTCTAGGAGATATCTGAGCTCAGCAGATAGAGTGACTTTCCGTACTATATAAGAAGAAATCAGTTTGGTTTTACCCAGTTGACGTCAAGTCCCTGATACAGCACGAGTAGTAGCAGGTAGTAGTAGTACCCGTAATCCGTTAGTTTTTAGCGTAAGAGTTATTTGAGCTCGGCAGTGAGTGACTTCCGTTCTTTAAGTAAGGTAATTTTTGCCTTTTTGGGTGGAGGACCGTATCGTTTTTAGCCGGGACCTCGCCGAGCAACAGTAAAAGACTCTGCCAACTATTCTTGTGTTAACCGTTATATTTTTAAAAAATACTAAAATATACCCACCATAAGTAGTAAGTGGGAGAACGAAATAAAACAACAATTTTTTTATAAACTTTTTACAAGTTCGTTTGCTGTTTTATTTTTTTGTTTATTTTTTAAGTCTTTGATGACGTTGCACTTTATTGTTTATATATGTGTGTCAATAATTATACTCCCTATACAATGTTTTTTATTTTCATTCTTTTATAAAACAATAAATTTTCTCTTTTAATCGAAAGCATTTCGTCATGTTGCTGCAAATTCTCCCATTGCTGTTGCTGCCGATATTGCTGTTGTTGCTAATGTTGCAATCGCTGTTGTTGTTAATGTTGTTGTTGCTAATGTTGCAATCGCTATTGTTGTTATTATCGCATTTTTTATTTTTATATTTACTGTCATTGCATCGCTAACTGCGGCACATTGAGTCCACGAGCTTAAGCTTTGGATTCAGATTCGTTGGTGGTGGCCTGCGATTGAGCATCGCTGGATTTGCCATCATCGACCTTGCCGAACACGCAGCATGGGCATTTCTCTTTCAATGCCAAACGGTATTTGGGATGGCTATTGGAGAGTGAAAGAGTGAAAGAGAGAGAGAGAGAGAGAGTGAAAGAGAGAGAGAGAGAGAGAGAGAGTGAGAGAGAGAGAGAGAGAGAGAGAGAGGAAAAAAGATGACTTTTTGTACCTCAATCAATTCTGGAAGCGACAATATTTACCTGATACCGTATACGATGGGATTGTAGCAAGCTGCCGATTTGGCAAAGCAAGCACCCCAGATAGTATTTAATGGGGTCAATCCCTCGAATTTGAACAGGCCCATGCAATTGATGACCAAGTATGGTGTCCACGCCATGAACCACAAAGAGATGGTGACCAGCGCCACTTTGGCCAATTTGCCCTCAGCACTCTTTTCGGCATCCTCAGAAGAGCGCAGGGATTTGACATTCATTTTCTTGGCCTGTTCTCGCATGGCCTTCTCGTGAGCGGACACAGCCTATACCAATGTGAAAGAGTGAGAAAGGGGTAGTATAAAATATTTATATGTGTGTATGTTAAACGAAATTAAGCGCCGCAACTTACAGCAATAATGAACCAATAGGAGTAGCAGATCAAAAAGAGCGGGAGATAGTAGACAAAGATGGAGTAGAAGATCAAGTATGATCGTGGATTCCAGTCGCGTTCCAAATAATCAATACCGCATGAAGTCAGATTACCCTCAGGCACATACCTAAGCAAGCCAATTGTTTAGCTTCTATTCCATAAAGCACATAACAACGTTCAACTTACCGACTCCAGCCGAACACTGGCGCCAATGTCCAAATGCTACCCATTGCCCAGATGAAAGCGATTTTCATTAACGCCAACTTAATTGTCATTGGTCGACCAGCTACACCCTTCACAATGACCTGATAACGATCCAAAGAGATCATGCACATCGACCAAATGGAACTGCAGCCAAAAGCTGAGCCCAAGCCGCCATACAGATCGCACATAGCCGGACCCAATACCCAAGTTTCGAAATACAAATTGATACCCATCATTGGCGTATTCGTGATCATGATACCGAAATCAGAGAGCGCTAAGTTGATGACCAGCAGGTTAGCGGGTGTACGTAATGATTTCGTCGTTGAGAATATGTAAATCACCACGCCATTTCCACACCATGAAATCGTACCGATTAGGATCATGTATGCCGTGAGGATTTTCGCCCACATGGGATCCATAGCTGGGAATTGATTCCAGTAAGGGTGGATTAAGTGTGCCATATCGGGCGTGACCTAAAAACGTTGAAGAACAAAAGAAAACATTAAATTCGTAGTTGTTGTCTCATAATGTAAAATCTTATAGCTTACCTTGTCTGTGACTGATCCATTGGACAGTGCGGCAAAGTGCGGCCCTAATGTTTGTAAGCTAAAAGTTTTGGTAAAGAAATTATATACGTATATTAGCTGCCATTAATTTCACAAACGAGAATTTCAAATTAAAGAAATATTGAGGTTAAGTTAACTAAGAAAAGGCGCCATTATATACACCAAGAACACTGCTGGTGCAAAAGGAAGTCACTAGACTAGACAAACAAGCGAATGAGTCTGGTTGCGAATGGTGAATGGTCGTGGCTCTCACGTCATTGTTGACAGTCATAACTTTGAATTAGTAACGATTTCGTCTATTTAGGAACCATCATCAACACTAACAACAATGAAATCCATACTGCTTTGGTTTGAGCCGTCAATACATAGAAGAAGACTATCTCTTGATGAACAAAAGCCAAGCTTTACTCCAGTTACATGGAGTAGCAACTTGAACGATTCAACATCATCCAAGCAATCGGTATGAGAAAGAATTCTTTGTTAGAAAGATTCTGCGAGAGAAATATGACTCTCTCTCTCTCTCTCTCTCTCTGGTTCATCATGCTCGAACTCGAAGCAGTATCAGCTAGTGGAAGCAGGGAATGCGAAACACCACTACTCTGTAACAAGGATCAAATACAGAGCAACCTGTATTAACTTGATATCTCCAAGCGACATAACAAAAAAAAAACCGAAAAAAACAAAGAATGACTGGCGCGGTATCTGTTAACTTGGCAATAAACTTGCAAGCGGTGTCCATATCAATGCCGTAAAAATTATCGCGTTCACTGTGTCTAAATGGAAGGGATTCCTTTGTAGACTTTTCCATTGTGAGCATAAGCTATATAAAATCTGTATAAAGTCTTTTGACCTTTGATGGGCAATTGCCATATACCAATAAGCCTTAATCTATGGGAAAAATGACAGCAAGAACTAGCCAAGAATATATGTTTTACATTTGTTACCGCTTTAGGGGTTAAGTTCCTCCTCCAATTCGTAGACTGAGTCGTAATCAGCCTTCCCCGATTGGCTGATGATTTATAATGAGGGGCCCTTCTTCATGTCAGATATGATTCGGAGGCTTGACATTCCTGCCAGTAATGAAATGTCATAACGGCGCGCTCTCGGTGCAAATTTTTATTGATTTTTCACTCATCGAACACGGTACAGTAAAAACTGGTAACAACTGTTACTGCTCGTCAGCTCACAGCAAAGGTCTTTAATCAAGTTTTGAAATCTCCGAACGACAAAAATGACTTTTGAACAATAGATGAATATCCTCTTCTGGATAGTGGCTTGTGGAGAGCGCCAGACTTCTTGGCGAAATGATGTATGCAGGCTTGAAGTAAAAAAATCAGCTGACTACCCTTTATCAGTTCGCTGGAACAAGGAGATTTTGAAATAGCAGTGCATAAAATGTTTTATATCCGCCTAAGATAGAGAGGTCAGTGAAGGCCAATAACTGAGTAGGCAATTGAAAATTAAGGTCCTCTCTCGACGAATGAAGACAAAATTGTACAAGTCGTTCTGTCCTGCTATATGGTGCGGAGGCATGGACGATGGCAACATCTGCTGGCGTTAGAAGGTTTCGAGAGAAAGGTTTGAGTAAGATTTATGATCCAACTTTGAAAGTTTCCAATGCAGCTCTCGCTGCTGGGGGTAGCAGCGGAGGACTACCACTCCGTTGGAAAGACCAGTTAGAGAAAGACCTCGCTGTGTTTGGTATTTCCAATTGGCGTCAAACAGCGTAAAGAAGGAATAAATGGCGCAATGTTGTTAACTTGGCTATAATGGAGTAAGTGGGCTTTAACCGTTAACACATAATTTCAATGAAGCTTAAAGAATCGTCAGACGTAGGAATTTCTTTGAAATTTCAAATGCTCTTGTGCACGCATTTATCTGGAACTTGACTTCTGAAATGAAATTTCCATTTCTTCGTTGCACTTTAATTCCCTTGAAATTGCTGTCGAAGAACTTGTATTTTTGGGAAGTTTTGAAATTTAAATTCATTTTTCATGAAGTTTTTAATGCTTAGTGCTGCTGAAAACAATTTCGAAATTCATAAATTTTCAAGTCTGACGGCAACTCAAAAGTGAACGGCACCCCAGTTGAAGAACCAGTTCGTTGCATTTTCAAAAATCTGTATTTTCCACTGCATATTTATTAAGGATTTTCGAAAACCTTCGAAATTACACTTTCACCTTGTGTTTAGTGTTTAATTAACTTCACCAAATCTCAACTACATACCTTTCCATTGTGAAGTTGTTATTGCTGTTTCGCTTTTGGTAAAAATCTGTCTATATGCCTTTGTACACTGTCTAGCAAACAGATTTTTTTTTCAACAAAATTTACATTCAAAAAAGATGCAAATTAAAGAATAAATCTCATTTCTTTCAAAGTAAAATGTTTTTTTTTTTTTAGTTTTTTTCGGTTAATTCCCGGAGTGGACTGTTCGCGGCGATCTGTCGTTAGAACCTGCAAGCAAGCTGCATGCTGCTGTTGGTTTTATAGTTTCGCCAGCTCGGAACGTGGACTAAACTGAACTTAAATTAAATTATGAATTTTGCGACATGTGCCGTGAGGGTTAGAAGTGTATGAAGGTATGTAATAAATAAGTAGATTCGTTACAAATAAGAAATGTTAAAAATATCTAAGAGATGTATGGTAAAAAGCTTTAAACTTGTTATGATCATAATGACGTTCGAATTATTGCTACAGAAGACTTTCGTAATGTTGAAGACAAAAAGGGTTCTGTTGTGTGAATATATAAACACAAGTAAATAAATATGAGTGTAATATATATTTGCGAAATGCTTTCCTCTACTTTTACACACACACACTCACACACATAGAATATCATATACAAATATGTATGTAATTGTACACATACATATTTACAACCGCAGCATCTACATACATACATAGATATTAACCATATTTTACAGATTATTTATGTATTTATTTATGTACAGCCATACATATAAATTAACAAAGGTACATAAACACTTTTCAACACCTTGGCGGCGATTTCGGCTGATTGGTTTGTATACAAAACTTTTAACGGTAATTTTTCTTCCGATGCCAATGTCAATACAACATTTCAATGGCTTCGCCAAAGTGTTTCAATGTTTTGCCAACAAAAAGAAAAATCATTTATTCTTATTAAATATTTCATTATCACCCGTTTTCTTGTGCTTATTTCTTTCTTTAAATATTGTAAAGCAAGAAAACAAAAGTATTTTTATACATACATACTCAGATACATATGTACGTGAATGTTAATTTCAACTGAAATCAATAACTGTCTTTGGGATCAACAGTGCGTATAAGTAACGCCTTTGGTGATCAGATCAAAAATATTATGATTAATTAGTATATTTTCGGTAAAATGCATTAGTAACTTAATAAAAGGAAAAAAAAATTTTCAACACATAATATATGTACTGAAATGTGTGGTTGATTTATACACACTTTGGCTTGTCATTTTATAATGATGAGACTTACTACAGCAGCTGGATTGGGGTCCGAAATTATTGCGAAGTATTGTGTAGAAAAAAAACTCAATTTGAGCTTAGCACTCTAGAAACAATAATATTTACTATTGCTATATTACTACACCTAAAAGGTAAAAAGAAATCCATTATTTTGCCAAGCCTTTATCTCTAATTCATACAATTTACAATAATCATGAAAGGCATATGCTCGATGAAGTCCACCAACAGTAGTTACCAAATATAAGTCATGGAAGATTTCTTAAAGTTTCTTTTAAAAAATTCATTTAATATTTATTTAAAAATGATTGATTTTCAACAAGAGAAGAAGGTAGCAAGAAAATGATGAAATATGCTATGAAAGCGCCTGCGAAGAGCGAAAGACACAACCTTTTAACTTTTGTATCGTGGATTGTACTTCATAGATATTTTCACCATTGGTTCACTCGCCTATTCCGATGTGCCAAAATAGAGAATATTTGTATACGTTTTACGCTCTGAGAGTTTACGCAAAAACATATTTAAAAAAAAAAAATTTTTAATGAAATAAAACCGAAAGCGTTTTTATACATGCAATTTTCTGGGCAATAACATTTTTGAAGAGGCCATCTGGCTTTTTTCAATAAAAAATAAAAAATGAAAAACTTGATAAATGAAGTTGCCACAACAAAACCAAACGGTTGTGCTTTGTTTTAATATTTAAACAAAATAAATGCAATTCATTTTTTCTCTATAAACATGCACGAAGTGTATGTAGCAGTAACAGCGACAGAGAGAAATAAAAAAATACTAGTTGTTAACTAGAATCCAACTGGTCTGTATTTTTGCACTAATTAGTTCATCTTTCATCTATTTCACATATAAACAACTGATAGATATTTTTAACACAACGATGCCGCACGAATTGTCAAATTGCCGACAATGTATCAGACTTATATTAGTTGTATACCAGTTCATTTGAGTGTGTTGAGTTTCAAAAAAAAAAAAAATTAAATGCAATTTAAATTGAGTTTGCTTACAACGAGACTTGTACCATGAACCTAATGCATTATAGCGAGCACTGCTAATCACACCGCTATAATGACGATGCAGTGATTTTGCGTACTTCAACAGAGCAGAGCAGAGAAAGGAACAACAAACGGTGGTGGAAATTGTTATAACTCCCGTTTTTGGTGAATTACTGTATTTAACTTAAATACTAGTATTTAACTTCTTCTATACGGACATAGACACAGTTTACGCGATTATAGCCGAGTTAACAACATTGCGCCATTCATATCATCTTTTCGCTCTTTGGCGTCGATTGGAGACAACCAGTACAACCAGGTCTATCCCTATCTGATCTTTTCAACGGAGTGGAGGTCTTCCTCCTCCCTATACTTCCACCGGCGGGTACTGCATCGAAAACTTTGAAAGCTGGAGTATTCTTATCCATTCGAACCACATGACTTAGCCAGCGCAGCCAATGTTTTTTGATTCACTGAACTATGTCTATGTCGCCGTATATTTAATGCAATTCACCGTTTCATCGGCTGCCGTATTCGCTGTTCCCAACCCATAGAGGACCGTTAATCTTACGCAAAACTTTTTTTCGAAAACACCTAACGCCGACTCATCAGCTGTTATCATCGTCGGTGCCTCCACATTATGCAGAAGTACGGGAACGATGTGTGACTTGTAGAGTTTGGACTTCATACATCGAGAGAGGGCTTTACTCTTCAACTGGCATTGTTGTTGGTGTTAAAACTAGTTTCGAGATAAACGATGTTATCTACGACTTCAAAGTTATGATTCTCAAGAGATATTTCCTTTTGCCCTCGTCCACTACCAGACTCACATCCGCCGTTTCCTTCTCCATTCCAGAGAAAGCAAAATTTACGGCACAGTTGTTGAGGACAATGATCAATATCAATCATATATCGGCGTACGCCAGCAGCTGTACACTCCTATTGAAGATTGTATCTTTACTATTCAGTTATGCAGCTCGTATTGTGCTCTCCAGCAATAAATTAAAGAAGTCGCACGATAAGGCATCACCTTGTCTGAAACCTCTTTTGTTATCGAACGGCCCAAAGCTTCTATATAGCGGTTAACGATTTGCGGGGTTACCAAATTCAGACATAGCGGCGTAGCTGCCTCTACGCTGTGTACTACAAGAGTCTGCTTCCGTCTTAAAACCGTGGGTCGCCGTATCTTTTCGTAGAATTTTCGAGTATTACTTTTATTGGCCAGCCTTACAAGCTTTTCAGCAACTCGACCTCTTTCGTTTTTATGTCTGCAAATGCGCATTGCTTCCCTCTTCAGCTCTCATGTTGTGGTCTATAGCAAGATTGCGAGGTAGACAGCCTACTTTAGCTCCATAGCGACCCCGCAGTCCTCATCGTACCAGCTATTTTGCGAACTTTTCGAAAACCAATAGCTCCGGCGGCTGCGGTAGCCGAGTGGTCAGCAATGCGTACTGCCATTCGCAAGACTCGGTTTAAATGCCGGTGCAACCAACAATCAAACTTTATAGAAAATTAATTTTAAAAAAATATTAAATTATCTTTTCCAATTGCGGTCGCCCCTGCGAAGCCTCTTCATAAGATACCAACAGCCTTTCAGAGGCGGCTTAATATAAACTGTAGGTCCATCCATTTTGTTCGCAGGACATCAAAAGACGCCATACCATAAATTTCAGGAGAAACTCGGCTGAAATATAGCGGTTATAAAGCACCAATTATATTAAAGCTTCGTTTGCAGCTCCACATAGGGAGCTTGAAATTTCGTCCCACTGTTCCCTTACACCGAGTTAGTGATGGAAGGTCTCAGAGAGTAGAACCAGTTAAGTAGAAAACTATTCGTTCTTTGTTGACGTTCGTTCTTTGCTGCCCAGAGGCAGGTGCATATTCTTGCTGCTACAAGACACTGGTTCAAGTCGATATTAGGTCTTCGGATAGTACGCACGGCAAGAACACCGGATACATGTCGTCCGTCTATCACAACATGATCGATATGGTTTTGAGTTTTTCGAGCAGGGGTCGGTCAAGTAGGTTGTTGATTCTAATACTACAGACAATCATATAACGAGCTCCGGCGAAGTCGATCAGCCTCTGCCCATTTGGGGTGGTTTCACTTCGTTCTACCTTCGCACTGCTTGTATACAAATATAGATTTGCATTCGAATTTTTATTATTATTTTTTTTTCTTCAATTATGATTATTTATTTAAATTAATCATTGTGAAGGTATTTCGCTTTTATTACTACAGTATGTCTGCATTTGTTCTTCGTCGCCGCCCTCTTGAGAGAAAACTATTGACAATTGACATGACAAAACCAAAATATTAAACAAAGAAAACACATTAAAAACCACCAAATGACGAAGTTTTTTTTTTTCTTAACCAGAGAAAATAATAAAATAAACAATAAAAATGAAAATGAAAATGAGTTGAGCGAATGCATTTCGGAATTGCACTCGGCCAAACTCAAAAACTCAAATACAAAAATGCTGCGATTTGTATGTGAAAATGCATGAAACCTAAAAACGGCATATGTATGTATGTAGGGGATGCTGGCTGGGGTGGGACAAACAGACAGCGTGCAACAAAAAAAACATATTTTGCTGTCAGACATAAAAATTTTATTTACTTTTGCTTAAATCGCCAAAAGCATGCGCTCACACTACGCTCAATCAATGAGTGAATGAGAAAGAGTATTGTGAGCAACGGAGAGGCGTGAGCCATAAATTGCATTGTGAGTGAAGAGAAATTTGGTTTTTCATGATTTTACAATCATTTTTTTTTTTTTTTTGAGTAGAAAAAAATTAGTTTTGAAAAAGTAATCAATTTAACAATGTTTGTTGCGAGATTTACGGTCACCAATGGAAAATATGGAGAACCAAAGTTTTGAAAAAGTTTATATACATATGTATGTATGCATAAGCAAACATGTATATTTTTATAAATGCATATAATTAATTAAAAAAAAAAAACACATTTATAGACTTTTGAAAAATTTTCGAGCACACGATAATTTGCTTTAAGCATTTGCTAGAGCGTTGAGCATACGAATTTATTTATTCATTTATTACTCTTTCGTAGAAGATTGCACGTAGATGAGATCATGGCAGGTTAATAGTGATTAAAAACATTTATTGATTTTGCAAGGTATTATTAGTACATACATTTGTTTTCTGATTTTTTTTTAAATTCACTTTAAGTGATCTTCAAAGTGCAACCATCCCATCTTCTCCCAAAGGAAACTACGTTTATTTCTAAGCAAATACAGAAATTTATATTTGCTCTTCCCAAATACGTGAGCGTACACCCACACTCAGTGATTAGGCCTGTTTTCGGAGCGCATATGTATGTTTGTACATCGCTTTGGCACGCCAAACCAAGCTCTCTGTTGCCCACTATTGCTCGATCGTTGGCACTGATCGTGGACAACTACGAACGTTGCTTTAGCAAGGAGAGTGTTTTCAGTTCGTGCGTTCGCGGAGCGTGTGCGAGTACTCTTTCAAATATTTACGGAAAGAAAATTAAATTTGAATGAAATTGTGAAGGTTCTTCTGGTTCATTAGATAGATAGATACATACCTACATATATATATAAGCGGATAAATGGTGTAGCTGTAAATCGGGCGTGAATTTTTGTCTTTAATAATTTGCTTGTTGGAAGAAAATTCGTGTAATGTTTACAAAACCGTTAAATAAGAAAATTGTGTATGATTTCCCTATGAAAAGAAATTACATTTAATTAAGAATACACTTCATATATGTACATATATACAAGCGATCGTAGCACATTGGAAAATTAATTACAGCACAGTAAAGTCAAGCGATTCGCGGAGATTACGAATGCTGCGTACGCATTCGAGCAATAGTGAAATTAGTACAAAAACGTCTACAAAATAGGCAAATCGGTGTTTAAAAATAGATGCGCCACCGTTCGTAGCACAGAACACTATATTATAAACATACATACGTACGTATGCACATACATACATATGTACATCCATGGCATAGCCGAACGTAGCGCATAAAAACACATTGCGGTAAGGCGTTTAGGCATAGAAGAAGAAGCAGAAGATTTCTAGAAGCAACAAAAAAGTAGACATAGAAGAAGCACAAGTATATGCATATAGAGCGTCTCTGACGTCGCTCATATCCGTGTCTTTGCCACTTTCTTTGCTTTTGGCGCATACACGTACATAGAGCACATAGACGTATACAATAGCCTCGTCATCGCCAGCTTGGACGACTATCAGCCACTTCGACTTCGACTTATTCACTTTCGTTGTCGTCGTAGTTGTTGCTGTCGTCGTCACAACGTCGACGGGAAGATATGAAGCAAGCGCCGCGCAACCAAAGGGGAAACACAAAAAGCAGCCAGCAATTGAGTAAGAACCCCTGGCATATTGTGGGAATCATTTCGAAACCGTAAAATTTCGCTATTTACAAACATACACATATACCGCAATCAAACATTTGTGAGTTGTGTTCCGTGTTGCGCGTCGTGTATTAGGAGTTTGTGTCGCAAATAAATTGATGTAACATCCAAACGCGGGTACACATCTAATATTGGAGGCTAAAGAAAGTGCACTAAAAATAACACGTGAGAAGGTGCGCTGCGCTGAGACGTTATTTTAGTGACAATTTCCTGCCGCAGTTTACACGCAGCGGACAAATATGCAAGCAGCGCCCCCAAACGTCGCCACAAAACCTACAACCGCCTCCACAACCAAACCGAAAATAATAACGCATCAAGTGGTGAAGACCAAACCTTTCATAGATACTCATATATACCAGCCGGCTCTGCAGCAACAGCAAACAACAGTTGGTAGCCATATTGGGTCTAATAAAACGAGCGTCGTGTCGGACGATCCTACGCGAGAGATCGAGGAGATCTCCAAAAAGATATCTGAGCACGCGGATGCTCTGTACCATACGTGGAAGAGTCGTGGTCTAGCACCGACCGAATTGCTTGGTTTCTACACGCATGCAGCGGCAGCAGCTGCTGCGAGCGACGGTGCAAGTGACGCGAGTGATCTCTTTGCCGTCGACGACGAGCAAACAGCAGAGGGATTGCAAAAGTTTGTCAACACATTTGTGCTAAAAGATAAAGAACAGCGCGCCAGTAAGGTGAACACCGGCTCTAGCAACGTTAGCCGGTTGGGTAGTGGAGTTGTTGGCGCCGGTGTTATAGGTATAGGTGGTGTTGGTGGACTTGTTGGATCGGGCAGTGTCGCAGCCAGTGGCGCGCTCTCAAATACAATCGATAACAGTATGGTTGGCAAATTAAAGCAGTCAACAACGTCTTCAGCAACCAAAAGAAGCGTTGTGTCACCAAAGTCGCCCACAACGTCATCGGCAATACTCATGAAAAGTGTCGATGCACCCGGCGTCGATGTTGTAGATACGCTAAAGAAGAAGACGGCCAAGTCCAATGGCAAACCAACGTCTACTAGTGCGGCAACTGGATCCGCGTCCACCAAAACCGCCCTTGGACAGAAGCACGAAAAGCATGAGCATACAATTAACATTGCCAGCGGCAATACTACGCCAACAAAAGCGCATAGTGCGAACTCTATAACAAGCGCATCGCCCAACACAACAACTATTGGACGTAGTAAGCCACATGTTTCCAATTCCGCACCGTTAGATATAAATTTGACTGTGGATTTAAACTTGGATCTCACCGACTTATCCGAGTTACAGACACATAATTTGCAAAAAATCAAAGAATTGCTGCAGGAAAATGCACCGACCACACACACAACATCAGCCAAAAAGGGTGCTACAAACAGCGGTACAAAGCAGACGAGAAAGGCCAGTATAACGTCGACAACAATTGACGGTGAAGCAGTTTCAAATAGCACAAGTCACCATACTCGTCGCGGGGAGCTGTCATCTAAAAGTAACAGCATTAGTGATGACAAGAGAGAGGTAGTTGCCACCAGCAGTAGCGGAGGTGGCGGCGGCGGCGGCGGAAGTGTGAATAAAGCGACAGTCGCAATTGCTGGCAGTGGTGTTGTTGATGGTGGCACTCTTGTTGTTGCCGAAAGCGTCAATATTGTTAAAAATAGTGCAAGCGGGAGCGGCAACAAAAGCGCCGTGGCAGTGAGCGCAAAGCGGAGTGGAGTGGTGATCGCAAAAGCGAGCAATGCGAAATCAACACCGCCCGATAATCAATCGAATCAAAGCGCCATTACTGTCAGTGGCTATAAGCATTCGAGTAGCAAAGAAAACGAAGAAAAAAGCGCCACCACATCGGCGATAACGACACCGAGCACGCGGAGTCCAACTGTCAGCATCATCAGTGGTAGCAAATCAATCAAAGCGCCTACAATTAAAGAGGATAAAAACGACACCAACAACAACAATAGCAAAAACAACAACACCAATAATCATTCAAATCACCTGAGTAGTGGCAGTGCCAATCACATTCATCGAAGTGGTAGCAAGGCGAGCACAAAAAAGGACACCAAAACGGCTAATAGCAACGGAACGGGTGCCGGAACCGGAGCGGGTGTGGGAGCAACAAACACTACAACTGGTGGCGTTACGAATGAGAACGGTATGGCAGCTATGCCTGCAGCGACAAGCGGAACAACAATTACAACACCTTCAAAATTCGCCAAAAGTGGTCGTACGCTGACCAATGGACAGGACAAATATGGTAAAATGGATGAAATTTCAAAAAACAAAAAAATAAAAAGTATAAATAATGAATATATAAATATTGTTGTGTGAGTGATATTTGAAAACTGACTTCTAACTACAACATTTTATCTACACAACTCTAGTGGGTCGACCGATACTTACGCGTGGCTCCGTTGCTGAGCGTGTACTTATGTTCGAGAAGTGTCCGGATGTACGTAACTCATTTTTGAACATCAAACGACCTGATCCAGCGGACGCGCCACCGAAGAGTCTACTCAAGGTGAGTACGTTATTATAAACGTGAGGTTCACAGGTGAACACAGTGCCCCCATATATACATACGTACGTACGTATGCAAACTATGAGATGAATATGTTGAAAAAAAAATTACATTTAACTCGTCATAAATTCAAAGCAGATTTTCAATTTTTTCCTCTAACGCTACATTGCAAAACGGTTATCTAATAGAGCGATGAAAAACAAAAACAATAAAAACTACTCGAAGCACTAGCGGTAAACGGGCGGCAGTGTGAAGTGAGATGGTGTGCGAAGTGCATAAAGTGGCTAGTGAATCACAGAGGTACACTATGAAACAGTGTGTACAATAAAAAAGAATCTATACATATAATTCTCGTTTAATTTACTCATTTACATTATTTACTTCTTTAACCCTAACGAATATGATAACTTTTTTATATTCATATCTATATGTATGTAAGTACATATAAGGGGTGTTTTTAATTATAAAGTTAAGGATTTATGTTTTAAAAATGATTACGAGCAAGTGAGCGCTGCAGCTGGCTCAAATGAATTCCAGCCGAGAGGCCCAATCGTTCGCTTCTTATAGCAAATGAAGTCAGGTGTCAACAATAGCGCGCCAAAATACTCTTCCAAGGCGTCAATCGTCTCGGTTTTATCAGTATAGGCAAGCGATCTCACCCAACCTTACAAGAAATATTCCAGCGATGTTCGATCGCACGATCTTGGAGGCCACGACTCAGGTCCACAGCGGGAGATAACGCGCTCACCAAAAGTTTCCTTCAATGAATTGATTGTTTCGTTGGCTGTATTCCAAGGAGCGCCGTCTTATTGAAACCAAAGTTCATCCACTTCAACATCCTCCCATAATGGCTTGACAAATTTATTAATCAAGTCTGTATAACGTACCCCATTGACTGTATATTATAACCGGCTTCATTTTTGAAGATATATGGATCAACGATTCTCTTTGCCCATACAGCACACCACTCTGTGACTTTTTGAAGATGTACAGGATCTTGATAAAGGCTTGTGGATTATCATTACCCCAAACGCGTTAATTTTGTTTATTAACATATTATCAACATCCAACTTAAAGTGAGCTTTATGGCTAAAGAAAAGTTTGTATGCGAGAATCAGGAGCAACAGCTACCTCGTTATTGATCCCCTTCACCAGACATGCCACACACTTGAGGGTCGGTCGGCTTCAATTTTTGCACAAGTTAGGTTTTAAAAGTCCGCAAACTAAGTTCTCTCCTGAAAATCTTCGATGGCTTGTTTAAAGCTCTAATTGCTGCGCGCGATGGCTGATGAACTCATTTGGGTTTTCTTTGATACTCTGATCAACAGCAGCAATAGCGTTTGCGGTGTTCACTGTACGGCGTCTTTGGGAATGCGCATTATCCACTAGAGTAATTTGGTAAAAAATTTGCACCATCAGAAAAACGTTGATTTGTAGTCGCTCTGTTCAATATGAAATGGCTAGTCAGGCCAACTCCGTTTAAAAAACACCCTTTATATAAATATCATTTGCTGATAATTTTTTGAGCTAAAAAATATCTGAACCCATTGGCTACTTTGATCTTGGAATATATGTGAATGTTCAAGGAAAGGTAGTAGAACAGGCATCGACTTCTTTGACAAAATCGGATATGTAGTTCGATTTAGTTGAAATACTTTCTCTGCCAATAAGTATACCACATGCCGATACTTTTGAAAATGATTTGTTTATTGTTCGATTAGGTTGAAGTTTTTACAGAGGCATCCCTTTGTTTAGCTTAATATATAGTACCATACATTCTGGGAAGAGAACCAGAGATCAGGTTCGATTTGCTTGAAGTTTAGTACGCTGGTAGTTTGCTTAGCTGCAGGTGGTTTTGAGTTTGACGGAGATGCTTCGTCCTCAATTGCTAAAAATTATTATACGTTTAACCTTGTTGTACAAAAGAAAGAAGAAAAAGAAAAAAGAAGATCAGGCCAGTGAATTGAATAAAAAACAGTCTTATAAGGGGTGTGAATCGCAGCTCTTTTCTGGAGAACAATGACTGTTCAACAGACTGGTGATCGCTAGTAAATAATAGTCCTACACCCGAAAGCGATCACGAAAGCAGGTACTAAGAAGCATTTTTTTTTTGGAAGCAGTAGTTTAAACACTGGCGAGGGTCATTGGCTCAAATCCTGACCATATTAACTAATAACGGCGGTCCTTGCTCTTTACAATTACTACAAACTTGCTCTTCAAATGATGGGCAATAGGGATATTCATGAAATATTTCTCTAAAGGAGAAATAAAGTCAAAGCTGAAAATATTGAAGGAGGTAATGGAGAGCCCAGAACCCCTGCACTGTGCAATATACCATAATAATTGAGGAACTAAAGATGTCGGAAAACCCAAATAACTCCCTCGTTTACATATATTTTTATCTAATAACTCATTACCAACTTATTTATTATCAGATACCTGTTGGCACGAAAAATTGAAATGAACTTAGAACTATGTCTGGCGAAGTATCTTCCGAGTTAGAGCGTTGAACTGTACTTTTTATTAACATTCCAAACATGATTCGCACCCTGGCTAGAGCAACTTTAAAAGGGAAAAAATACAATTAAAAATTTATAGCTTTTTTAATTTATGTCGCCTGTCGGCAGGGAGTGTCAACCTCTTCTGGCATATAATAAAAGGCTACTCATAAGCCATCAGCCGTCCATTATTATATTTCCAATTTCCGCTCATAACCCGCTGAAGCGATTTTCAGCCGATTTCTATAATTTTGGATGCTGGCTGGGCCAGGACTCAAACTCGCGACCTTCTGCAAAGTAGAAAGTACTGCTAACCATACTTATTTTCATACTTATTTCTTTGTACATTTATATATGCATATTTATGTATAAAAAATATTTATGTGAAAAATAAACACGTCTACTAATCATAACATCATATGTACACGTATGTATGAATATTCATAAAGCACACTTTTTTAGCACAGTGTAATTATCACGATCCGCAGATGAACCTCAAACGCGTACCGACAATTTTTAAGGTTACAAATATCGTGGCGTCGCCCGACGTCTCTTTGTTAATGCAATTTTTTTTTTGCCAAGTTGAAAAAACGAAACGCCAGAAAATTGCATCAAGTGCGAAAGTGAGAAAAGTTAAAGTGAAAGACAAAAGTTTAGTGTAATCTTTGAACAATATAAAAAATAAGACAGTTTGCATTGTTGTAGTCGTTTTCTTTCATTGATTAATTTTATTGGATCTTCTTTAGTTGATATTCGCTGCTAATCGCTGTGGTTTGTGCATGCAGCGAACTTTAATAAATTAATATAAATCCAATCTTATTGCCTTACAGGGTTTCCTTTATATACATACACGTATATTTGTATACATAAGACCTTTTTAAATTTAACAACGAAATTCAATACAAATATGGTATTCAAAATACTTACTTACACAATTCTTAAAATCAAAAAATAAATAAATAAACAAAAAGCACTTTTGTGTTCCGAAGAAATACTTTCGGCCATAAAGAAAACCTTCTCTTGCTCATATTCAAATTATATATCAGCTAAGATGAGAGAATCGATAATTATACATGCAAGATACGTTACGTCTGCGATGTTTCAACTTCAGATTAAAATTTCAATTTACCTTTTTACTTACATAATGGATATACGTATTAGGTCAAGTAAAAAGTTCACTCGGTTTTTTTTATTGATATTTCAAAATATGATAAAAAAAAAATATGATATGTACATAAACATTTGTCCGATTTAAGACATAATTGCGCCGCTTTGTTCGTAAACTTGTTGCCAACGAGTTGCCATCTTCATTATACCCCTCTCCTAAAAGGCTGCGTCCCTATTGGCAAAAAACTCGGAGAGCCAATTTTCAGAGGCCTCTCTTATATATTTATGTTTCCCTAATTATTTACATTTTTTTTAATTCTATTTCATTTCATATAAATTAGTTTTATTCAGTTGTATTTTATTTATTCGATTTTATTTTAACTTCATTATTTTATATGATTTGATTTGATTTTATTTTATTTTTTTTGAATTATTTTTTATATATTATTTTGTTTTATTTGGTTAATTTAAATTTATTTAATTTTTAATTGTATTATTTTATTTTATTTTATTTCATATTGATTAATTAAATTTTATTTTATTATAATTTACTTTATCAATATTATTGAATTAATTTCTTTTTTATTTATTTAATTTGATTGACTTAACTTTATATAAATTTAAATTATATTATTTATTTATTTGATTTTATTTAATTAACTTAATTCTATTTAATTTTTTTATTTAATATTCTTATTTTTTTATTTATTATACATTATCAAATTTAATTGTATATTTGCTTTATTTTATTACTTTTTATTTTTTATGCCTTATTTTATTTCATTTGATTGATTTAATTTTATTTAATTTCACATTATCTTATTGTGTTTTTAATTTTTTTATATAATTTCATTATAATTTAATTCATATCATATTTACCATTTAATCAAGTTTTTTTTAATATTTTATTTTATTTTATTTTATTTTATTTTATTTTATTTTATTTTATTTTATTTTATTTTATTTTATTTTATTTTATTTTATTTTATTTTATTTTATGTTATTGTATTCTATTTTATTGTTTTCAATTGTATTGTATTTTATTGTGGTTTGTTATATTTTATTTTATACCCTCTTTTTTGTTAATTAATTTAATTTATTTTATAATTTTTTTATTTTATTTTACTTATTTTATATGACTTGATTTGATTTGATTTCTTTTGATGTGATTTATTCAATTTTAAATTAAATTATTTGTTTATTTGACTTGATTTTATTTTATTGATTTAATTATATTTAATTTAATTTAAAATAATTTTGTTTTTTTTTTAATTTAATTCATTTCATACAATTTTGTCAAACTTTTTTTTAATATTATTTTACATTATTCTATTTCTTTTTATATTATTTTTTTTTATTTTCAATTGTATTGTATTTTTCTCTATTTTATTAATT